CATCAGAGCTTTACTTAAAGATGCTGAGGAAAGGCAAATATCAGAGGAACCTGTCAAGTTATGGCTAGATCGGCTCAGAGAAGAATCTCTTGACATGGAGGATGCTTTGGATGAGTGGAGGACTGTACTCCTGTACCCGCGAACTGATGGAGCTGAGGAAAATGCTTCTTTTCTTCAGAGGAAGGTATGTGTTTTCCTCAGATGTTTTTCTTTTCATCCTGTTCGATACCGTGGCGTTGCTCTCAACATAAAGGAAATCAATGGAAGTTTAGATAAGATTGCTGAGGATAAAGTTAGGTATCAGTTAACAAGCATGCCAGTCAGTAAACTGCAAAGACAAGGAGAAAGCAAATCTTTTATTGATGAGTCGAGCTTGCTTGGTCGAGATGATGTCAAGAATGAAATAATCAGCCATTTTTTGAGTGAGACTAGCAAAGAAGAAGAGGGTAGCCCAATCCAAACCATCTCTATAGTAGGGGTAGGAGGTGTTGGGAAGACTGCTGTCGCCCAGCTGGTCTACAATGACGAAAATGTCAAACGACATTTCACTTGTAGAGTCTGGACATATGTTTCAGACATTTTTGATGAGAGCAAAGTTGCAAAATCAATCATTGTTGGGCTTCAGGGCCTAGATAAACAAGCAAACCTCAAGTTGGAGTCAGTTCCATTAGATGCTCTCTTAGATGAAATTCGCAGGTCCATAAAGGGAAAGAAGTACCTTCTTGTTCTAGATGATGTATGGACAGAAAAAGATAAAGACTTTGAAGGACTGAATGCTGCTTTTAAATGTGGTGCTCCGGGGAGTTGGATTTTGGTGACTACACGTAAGAGTACTGTTGCAACAATCATGGGAAGTTCCCACACCATTCAGTTAAATAATTTGAGCCAAGAGATATGTTGGTCTATCATTAGGAACATAGCACTAAGAGAAAAGGACCAAAGGACTTGTGAGGAGTTCAAGCCAGTCGGGTTGAAAATTGCCAAAGAGTGCAAAGGTCTGCCGCTTGTTGCAAAGACTTTGGGAGGCCTCTTGCGGTTTAAAACTGGTATACAAGGGTGGGAGAATGTTTTCAATAGTGAGTTGTGGAGATTGGAAATGGTACATAAAGATGTTTTTGTTCCTCTGTTGTTGAGTTATTATGATCTGCCCTCTCCAGTACGACGGTGCTTTACATATTTAGCTTGTGCTCGTAAAGACACGTCTTTTAATATCTGTCATGTGATTTCACACTGGATGGCACAGGGTTACTTAGACTTGGATGATGATGATTCACCATTAGAACTAAAAGGCTTTGAGTACTTTAAATGCTTAGAGGCTCGCTGTTTCTTCCAAGGTTTTGAGTATCAAGATCAATGTCTTGCATATAAGATACATGATTTGGTGCATGACTTTGCTCTCTTTTTGACAAGGGGTGAGTTTATGGCATTGGAGGTCTCCAAAGGTAATACAAGTTCAACAATGAACGGACAAAGAACACTTCGACATTTGATTGTGATAATAGAAAAGGGTCTCCATTTTCCTGAATTCATTCCTAATGCAGAAAAATTGCGAAGTGTTCTGTGTTATGATGATGGTTTTGGTCCTGCTATCAGTGAAAAGGCCTTGTGTAATTTGTTTAATCAAGCTAGACGCTTAAGGGTAGTGGTTGTGTGGATGCCTGGACATTGTTCAACTATTCCAGAAGAAATAAGAAACTTATTGCATTTGAGATTCCTTAACATCAATTCAAGCAGAAACCTTAAAAGGTTGCCAAATGCACTCTTCAGATTACACAATTTGCAACATTTAATTTTGTATCACTGTTATAATCTTGAAAGACTGCCCGGTGAGATAGGAAATTTAGTCAACTTGAAGCTTCTTGAAACCAGAGGTTGCAACAAATTAGCTTGCTACCCAAAGGAAGTTGTGAGATTAACTCGACTTACACAATTATTGGGGCTCATTGTGAGAATTGATCGTGACGATCCTGAAGAGTTTAGC